CAATAAATATGTATTTAACATTGCACAGCACAGAAGGACATGTGAAATGACATGGTTTTCATGTTCTCAATGTTCTATTTGGGATGTATGTATTTTAATTTCTTCAATATCTTATTTCAATCCTATGTGGGATGTCAATTCTTTAGGTGGAGATCGAATATTTCCTGTGCCTCTTCTTGAATAATTCCATGCCTATCACTGATTTTTATTATTTGCATTCTGGATCAGACCAGGATCTACTATGTGAAGCCTTTATCGTGTAAAATTTTTATACCCTCAGTCATATGGCTACAGATCATTTCATTTGATTTGATACGGCCAAATGAGTCTCATCGAAATAACGGTTTTAGGCTGTAGGTCTCTTTGGATCAAATCCGCTTCAGGACATTTGGAGTTGATCTAGTGTTGCCCGCTGTCTGCTGGCTGTTGCGCACGATAACTCTCGAATAGTGTATCCGATTTGGTCGAAACTTGATACATCGTAACATTATTATCAAACTTAGATCGAGTTCGGAGATGGACAATATAGGACCACTCCTTTTGGTACCTCCCCCACAAAGGTCAAAATCTTCAAAAAATATTTTACAGCACAGAAAGAGATAGGATAAATTCGATACTATTTCAACTTTGTAAATCCTAATATTTGCATCAGTGCTAGGTCAAGTGAAAAAATTCACAATATCGGTCCACTCCATCAAGTTTCTTCCCCACAAAGTGTAAAAATTTTGAATAATTTTAACTCTTATAAAATGTGATATAAGAGTCCGATAGTCTTCAAATTACACATAAAACCTTTATTAACTAAATGTCTGATGTGAAGATGGATTATATCGGTCCACTCCATCCGGTACCTCCCCCACAAAGGCTCAAAGTTTTGAATACCCATGATGTTCATAAAATGCGAAATTAACATCCAATTCCATTCAGACTTGGTACATCGCAATATTTCTATCAACACAAAATCTGTTGTAAAGATGGTAGGGATCGGACCATTTCTTCTGGTATCTCCCACACAAAGGGTCAGCGTTTTGATTAACCAAACCGATCATAAAATCAAAAATAATCATCCAGTTGTCTTCATATTTCACACATCCTATTATTTCTACTAACACAAGATCTGCTGTGAAGATGGAATATATCGGAACATTTCTTCTGGTACCTCCCCCACATAGGGTTCAAGCGAAACAAACATCCAACTCTCTTCAAATTTCACACATACAAACATTTTTGCTAACACAAGCTCTGTTGTGAAGATGATATATATCTGCGAACCCCTCCTAGAACCTCACCCAGAAACCTGAGATGAATAAGGAATATATGATTTAACATAGAATTGGATATAAATGTTCGAATTTCTTGTAATTTTGCCCATACCAATTTATTAAACTGTATTGGATGAAGTATGAAAATGGAGTACTTCGGTCGACATCTTCTAAAAATGATCACATATTTCATATAAAGTGAAGGAGGAGAAGTAGTCGATATAGTGAAAACCTGGCACGTCGAAATATGTATTTCAAATTTATGGACAAACGAAATGGACAATCTTCTATTCCTTCGGACCCTACTCCATAGAATTTGAATAATCATAACAGAAGTCAAAATATATTTAAAAAATCGAACATTGGCTGAGGGTACAAGTCTGTCGGCTAAACCGATTGATGCTTTTTAATTTGTTTGTTAATTCTACATTTACATTAACTTCGCTTTTGTCTCACTTTTACATTTCGACTACCCTATTATTTCCCCGTCACCTCTTATTAAGTTTCAGCGAAAACTAATATGACACAAAACTGTTATCATCTGTTGTTCCCCATATTGACAAAACAAAATGCCATTATTCGTTGGAAATTGACTCAGTTGAATTAAAAGAAAATATTTCAAATATCCTTTCAATCCACCAGACAACCAAAGGAGTCGCAGGAAATGCATTAACAAACAACGGAAAGAATAGTGGAACCAACAATGGTTTTTACCCAGGCAGTTCATTTGAATGGAAATGAAAATTCCTTTTACCAAAGCTAAAATGGAATTAGAGAGTAATTTAAATACATTGTCATTTAACGATTCCGCGGTGCAAGGGAAAAGAGGCAATGGCAGTGGCGAATGGGTTTTAAAGAAGTCACAGAATGGCATTCAGTCGTGCTATCAAGCCAGGGTAATAAAAATTAAATTACAACAATTACTGTTATTTCCAATGATCACTCACAGTAAGTTAAGGGCTTTAAGTGTTCTGTGTTTTTGTTGTTGTTTTTGTTGCATTTCTGGCATTATGATTTTCAAAGTGGGGGAATTGCTTCCGCTGTTCTTGTCCATCATCTTCTTCGAAAGACATCAAAACTATTGCACATGCTCAGAAGCTTCACAGTTTGGCGTGTTACATGCGAATCAAAAACGTAAACCTTAACAGACAGAGCAGATCAAATGACAAACGCCACAAATGAAATGAAAAGAAACGAACAACGATTTCGATCAAAAGCCAAAGAAGAATCCAGACAAAAAAACACAACAGGTTAAACATATGATCACTTAGCAGTAACTGAAGGTAGCGGGACCGGCGAGCGGCTTGTGGCCTTTTAGCTGCAAATTACCCATACGTGAGTGTGCGACTCAACTCAAGTAATTTTAAACAATTAACAGACAAACAGCCATACCCTCATTCTCGCATTCTCGCATTGGCTAAAACCTCTACGAGGTTGTTGCAAGCCCAAGAAGAAAATTGCTTCGCAACAATAAATGAATGAAAGCAAATGAGCCCAGCTAGTCAAGGCATAACCCTCTTGCTTTTCACAGGAATTAGCTGCATCAGGTAATTGCAGTCCAAGAATTCCATTAGACTATTTACAACTTTATTAAAACTAAATAAAGGAGCTTAACAAGTGAAGTTCGCTGGAAAGGCCTAAACGTGGCGGAACGGACATTTTCTAATCCTTTGAAATACGAACAGCGATTTCCGGTTCTTAACAAGAACTCTTGAGCAACGGTGTAAACCAAAACTCTCTTAAAGAGCTTGCTCTGCTAAAGAGGTTGCCCAGATACTTTAACAAAAAGCAGATACAAACTACCAGAATATTTCAATTGGTCCAGCATGATCAACTCCCGAATTATTTTTTTTTACAAGTCAACATTTATTTTTTATTCTCTTTTCTTATTTTCGATTACGATTTTTCTCGCCTTGTCGAATGTCCAACGCTGTGCTCCATTCTTATACATAGGCCTGGATACTGTTTGTGTTTATATTTTCATTGTAACTGGTATTGAGCTGTGGTTTGATTCAAACACACGCTTGTTGGACAGACATAGTTCGACGGCAGTTTAGTGCCTGTTGCATATTTTCTTTAACATTTTTCAAGGTTTGTAAAACATATGTTGTTTACTGTTTGCTTTGACATGTGACTTCCATGTTTGAAAACAAATCTGGGGATTGGAAAGTTGAATTCGGTCTGAACTAAGAAGTTGGGGGGATGGAGGTGGTTGTTATCTGCATTATTATCTTAAATGTGAAAGAGGATTTTAAAGCACACGACTACACGGAGAAATCGTTGACATAAAAATAGAAATTTAAAAATGATTGGGAATTAAGAAAATACTATTTTTTACATTTCAATTGAAGAATACTTCATTTGGTCACGCAGAGGAGTAACGCATTGAGCGGCCAGGGAAGAAGATAGTGGTTTGGAGGATGTATTTATCGTCTGCACGAATGAATTCTTAGGTAGGCACGAAAAAGTCTTTAAAGCTCTTATAATGGGAGGTGCCAGTGAAAATGCTTTATCTAATTTGTTTTGTTTTTATCAAATTAGTTAAATATTGTAGGTTTCTTTCTGAAAATACATAAAATCGGTCGTACTCTCATATGGAGCAGCTGATATGTTGAAAATTTCATAGTTCTAGAGCTCATTGAATCTTGCATGCCTGTGGAATTACAAGGACAACGTGAGACTTTTTGGATAAAACCTCTTGAAGAAGTATTTGTTGGAAATAAAGACTTAAAAAGTAATCGCTTCATAGAACTATAACTGATTTTTGTTTACTTTAAATGTCATTTTAATACCTCAGAGTAAATTTTAGTAACTTGTAGTTACAGGGTCTACCCAAATTCGAAAATGTATTGTCATTTTTGGAATTATTCCAGGGAAAAGGGGCAGATTTGTTTCAAATTTCGTAATAGTAATAGTTCCAAATAGGTACTTCAGCCTGTGAGATGAAGTTGTTCAGGTTCAGGTCTTCGTATAGCCCCCATATAACGGTACCTGGATATATTCCGTATTTTGTTGATTTGAGCGACATTATTCACCGAAATTGTCTATAATTTCTTATTTGAAGTTCCTAATGGGTACAACATCCTGTGACAGAAATTTTTCTATACAGGTTCTGGTGTTCGTATAGCCCCCATACATCGGTTCCTCTCTATGTTCGGAATTTTTACGATTTTTAGCTACATTATTCATCAGATTTTTTTCAAGTTTCGTATTTGAATATTGTAAAAAGTTGCCTATGCAGATCCACGTCTTTGTGTAGTTCCAATAAACGGCGACTTTCAATATTCGGTATTTTTAAGAATGGTTAACGGATTTTATTTTTTGTGAAAATTTCCAAATTTGTTCCAGCTGGTGGAGAGAATTCAAAGTGCGGCCCGGTATAACTTACTGATTTTTTAGAGATAAATCCTTTGTTGTATTACAAATCGTTTCCTTTAAAATTTCCTGCATCTTTTTTCGCGGAAAAGCCTTAATAATGTTTTTCCACATCAAAACAGCCATTCGTGTCTTTTATTTCAATTCCAGTCTCTTGAACACATCTAATGGTCCGCATCTTTAACATCTCACCCACAACAATGCTCCCCACCACATAGTACATTCCAGTCAGTCAGTTTCCAACCACTGCTTCCAACTTGTTCGAACATGTTGGATTCGGCAAGAACAATGGTGGTTGCAACATAACAACCACCAAACCATCTGGGCCATCTAAAAAACATTTTAGTTTTAAAGCGAGTTCGAATGTGTTTAGACGCTTAATACGGAACCAGTTTAAAAAGCGGGTTAACCCACAAAAAACAACAACAGCAACAATATAAAGTTCACAAAACCAAAAGTTAGCACTACCAATTTGATGTTTGAGAATCAAATGTTGAGGTGGTGATACCAAGGCTTATTTTCGTTAAAAAAAGAAGATAAATTAAAGAAGAAGAATAAAAATTAAATTAAGCTCAAATTAAAAATTAGAAAAATTCAAAGAATCTCGAGGTGATGATAATGAGTGTGTGTGTGTTTTTGTTTGTGTCCGTATGAGAATGAGTTAATGTGGTTTATATAATACCTACCTACCTACATACCAACAAATAAAATAATAATATGAGCTTCTTGCGGTTACCAGATGAAGGCAGCAACAAAAACAAAGTGGCAAGTGTTAAACCTTTGAGTGCAACAGCAGAATTACTTTGATGGGAATCGACGACCATGCCTCCTGGTGTTCGGTATCACTGAATCTGTGAGAATTTGTTTCTGACCACTGAATAAGTATTTTGAAATAAACGTGAGCTTTTCACACATGAGATGAAATACTACAAAAGAAAATAAAAATAATTGTAACATAAAGCATCAGCAACATCGTCAACTAAATAACAACAAAGTGGATTATAGCTATTAATGTTAAATAGTTAATGGTTAAATTGTTAAGAAACGAAATCCCGATCCATGTGAATAAGCGCGACCAACCGTCCGACCGACAGAGTGAGTGAATGAGTGTTGTGTGAGCGTGTCTGTGTGTGTGTGTGTTTCTTCGGTTTTACGCTTGTGTTCTGGAAATGAAAATATAACATTTCGCTTATCGGAACCCCCGGGAAAAAGTTGTGCCACCGTCGTCTGTCTGCTGAACAACAAAATCGACTTCTGAGGAAACTCTGTGTTTGTTTAACACACAGAGAGAAGGCTAAATGAAAACACTTCCAAAGAAGTGCCAGAACAAAAGCACATAGTGAAAGAAAACAAAAACAACAAATGTTTTAAGCAACTTAGAGATGTATTCCTATTGTTTTTAATAACAACATCCGCAAGTTCTTGCTGAAAACTACCTTCCACCGCCCCTGCGAGCGAGGCAACGAAAAGCGCTCAAACACCAGCATAATAGTGGAGCTGAAGGCTGAAACAATAGCAGCGGAAAATTCTTGCCAAGAAGTGGAAAATTTGTAAGTGAAAATGTTCTGTTTTTCTGTTTCCAAAGCATAAAAAAATAACCACTTGAGATTACATGGCTATGTAGGTACGTATGTAGCCATGTAGGCATGTATGTGTGTATTGGTGTTTTCTTTATAACAAATTCTTTTCTTCTCCATTATGCATCACATTTCTTTTTCTTATTTGTGAAGTGTTACAATTGCATAAATTATAAAGTTTTCACTTGGGCATGGACACTGAAAGCTGAGAGCAAGTGAAGAAGGTGGTGGGGGTGGGATTGTTGTTGCAAAGATGGTTGGTCGGTCGGTTGTTGCATTATTTATGGAGCAGTCTATCTGAGATAAAAAGAAAATCCAGTAGTTGGAGGAGTCAATTATTGGTTAAACCATAATAATGTCAATGGATTTTTTTTTTCTAAACCGGAAATCGGAACAAAATTTGGAACAGGGAGAGTCCAATGAAACGCATTGCGGTATAATTGGTTCTATGATGAGCAACAATGTAGGCAAAAGTGTTTTTCAGTAGGGCTTACTGACAACGTATCGCATAAAGCTAAAATAAAAAAGCATCTTTCAACATTTTTGTGACATATTTTTAACCCAACAAGTTCTATAACTCCACTGGGATGAGCTCCATCTGAAGGTTATATAATTGTGTGCATGTCTGTTTCTTAGTTTGTACTCGTGAAAGACTGATTATATCCTACACCACAAGTTGGCCAGGGTATTATGTCTTGTGCATTTGTTTGTAATGGGCAAAAGGAAACGAGATAGACCCATCGTTCCTTTTGATGATCTGCACAGAATCACATTCTGAGTCGATTTATGCGTGTCCGTCCATATGTCTGTCAATGTATTTTTGCAAACAAAGTACAGGTCGCATCTATTGCCCGATCTAGGTAAAATTTTACTCAAGTAATTAGTTTGACCCAAGGGCGAACCCTATTGAAATTGGAGATAATCGGTCAAAATTTAGATATAGCTCCCACATATATCTTCGTCCGATTTGCAATTTATTGTGCGCCAAACGTGTAATATCAGACCAAATAGTCTTGAATTTTGCACATACAAGCAAATTAAGCCTAAAAATAAGGATGCCAAATTTGATCGAAATCGGTTTTGATATAGATATAGCTCTCGTATATATTGTTTATCCGATTTGGCATTTTTGTCCTCCGCAGCCGTAATATGCACTCTGTAACAACGGTATTTAGGGAAATATGTCAAATACAGCTCAGAAATACCTTTGCTAAATTTTATCGAGATCAATTCAGATTTGGATATAGCTCCTATATATATCTTCGTCCGATTTGCATTTTATTGTGCACAAAATGTGTAATGTTAGCCCAAATGGGCACTTACGACCAAATTGAGCTTAGAAGCAATAATGCCAAATTTGGTGAAAATCGTTTCAGATATAGCTATAGCTCAAATATATACTGTTCTTCCGATTTGTTATATTTGTTCTCCGCAGCCGTAAACATATCAAATACAGATCAGTAATACCTTCGAGAAATTTTATCGAGATCGGTTCAGATTTGATACATATCTTTATCCGATTCCAAGTTAATTGTGCACCAAATATATTAATCGATTCAGGGGAGGATATTCATTTCACATATCAGTTCCTTTGGCCTTCAAATTATAACTATAATCGTGGTATAATTTAATTCTCACAAATTCTCCATAAAAACTTTTATTTGTTATGTGAAACTATACTACATGTGGAAAAGGGGTGTAGGGTACTGGTTTCTATATATATTCGACACGTCCAAAACTAAAATAATGCACAAAGACATAGCATCAGTATAGGATATTTGACCCTAACAAGTCGTAATATGTATGTGAAACTTAGAATAAGTCCGTAGGTGAGCAATATCCCCACTCCAACCCCAACCACAACCCCCCTCCCCGCCTAACAATATTTTGAAAAAAATATATATAAATAAAAAAAATATATATATATTAATTCTAATGTCTTCATAACTTCCGGTATTACCCTCCACACAAAATCAAAATTATTGGAAAAACTAAACTCTCTAAAATTAATGATATTTTTATGTATGTCGAAAGCAAATGAATACGAACGAAAAGCACCAATTCTAGGCATTTCTTTTTTTTTCAAAATTCATACAATTCAAATGAAAGTCGTGCGGGCCGACCACGTCATACCCTACAACACTATAATATGTTGGAAGCTCCCTTAGGACCAAATCCATTTTGTCAGATTTCGTTTTTGAAATAATTCTATTCAGCCCCGCACAACTGCTACGTTAGTTTTTTGACCGGAGGAAGTTGCTCTATATATATGCCCCCTAACGTCTGCCCCTTTCTCAACTCTCTCCTCATTCCGTGTCGATTGGTTTTCAATTGTGACCTGTAGAGCGACTGCAAAGTCAGGAAAATGTAATTTTTTGGTCCATTCGAACCACAATGTATATCAACATCAATAGGCTTTAATTCCGACCCTAACCCTACCCCCTTGAAAAAGGGAAAGAATGTTTAAGCATCGTCAATATTTTGCTTCAATTGGTGCAGTTACCTATTTAAATCGTGAAAGAGTTGGTGTTATGGGATATAAAAGTACACATGGATTGAAAGATGGCACACACGACTTGATATTTAGAAGTTCTGATCCACTCAAAAATTTCCATTTGACTCAAAAATTTCCATTTGACATAAAAATGTAATTTATGTTGTTCCAAGGAGAAACTAAAACCCTTTTCTATAATTGAAAATATGAAGAAATTGCGAAATTAATTTTGAACCACTGTTCAATGTCAGGTTAGACTATTTTAATAAATGGCTTAGAACTCTAATCGAGAATATTTTAGTTCGAAACAATGTTCAGTTCAATGGGAAAACAATAGTGTATGGTTCCTAAGAGCTTATCTTTCAACTTTTTGACTTGCTTCTGTTCATTGAAAAAAAGTTAAAGCTTTTCAAATGCTTATGAATACTTTCTAAATATTGCCATTCATATGACTTCATTATCATATGAATATTGTGAGCAAAAAAAAAAAAATACTACAAAGGTCAATATTCGGATTTGCATTTCAGATCCACATTTAAGATGATGTTTAAATGACTCAAATGTATACCATTTAGACATTTTTATTTGTTCGAAATGATAAAATCGACAAATATAACTACTTCCCCTATTGGACAGATAGATCAATTCTCAATTGCAGTAAACCCAAATATTTGGATATTTCCCAAATTGAAAGATTAATTTTTGGATTTCAATATTCATCCAGTTCTTTGTATAAATAATAAACATGACAAGTGCATATATGTATGTTCATATTTCTTAAATTATTTATTTATATACATATATTTATACATACATATATTTATGCAATTTCTTTTGTTCATGGCTGGGTTGGCTGATTGGTCGGTTGGTTGGTTGGTTACTTAGTTATTTATTGCCAGTAGCTTATTGATTTTGATGATGATGGCAATGACGAGGACGATAAACGCAACATCCAACCAGCTCTAACCAGCCAGAGTATGGAACAGCAACGTGATATTGAGTTTTCCATGAAAATCTCTTGAAAATGAACAAACATTGATTGATGTGAATAAATTCAATTATAACGACGAAATATCTATAGTTGCACACATTCGCAATTTGCTGTCATTGATCGATGAGCGCCACAATGGACCACATTACCTGTCAAATAAATAAACTTTTCAATAAAAAAAAAGTATTTCTCTGATTTTGGGCCACCTACGCCCACCTCCCCTTGGCTAAATCGGCACTTTACAAAGAATACAGAATTCATGGACAGGTGACACGTTTTTCATAGCATGATTTTACTCTGAATTTCATATCAGCGAGGGGTAAACATTTGTGATTTCCTATAAATTATTGTTAATTTAAGAGAAAAATAATTTACTTTAAAATTCCATTTCAATCACCAAACTATTTTGCGGCATTCAAGAGTAAAAAAGTTTTTTGTCATAGGAGTTATTTTAAAATAACTTCTGGGGAGAATATCCCAGGCAAAAAACAAGGGAACTGATGAGGATTGATGGCTCATACCTAGGTATTCCCTGCCTTACCCCCTGGTAAACATTACCATCGTTCTCCACTAATAAAAAAATGTTGTTTTATAAAAACAACAATAATGGGATTAAGCCTGACGATTTTTGCAACAACAATTTTTACAAATAATTATTAAATGGTCAGCAAATATTGCAAAGCTGTCAGGTGAAGTTTAGCCAATGGAGGAATTCTCAATTTCAGGGGGAATTCTGTAATTTCTTCAAGTTTATGCGAAATACGCGCAATTTTACCTCCTTCCAGTTTGGAAATATAGATTTTGTCACAATTCTTATCGGAGCTTCTTAAAAACGGTTAAAAAGAACTTGCTGATTTGTCTACATTTTCGTACAGTCAAATAGCCTGTCTCTCCTGTCGCTCCATATAAATAGTACAACATCCAGTTACATTTGGTAACCGATTGTTTACCGATATCGAATTATCAGACTCAACTAATATTTGTTTAAAATCTCTCCATTATTCAATAATTTTCCAAAGCCACAAATGAATAACCCAACTGAATTATGAATTTGAATGGGCATTTTATATTTGTGTAATAAAGTGTAGCCCCTTTGCGGATGTGTATAATAAATTGCAAACTACTTATGTGATGAAATGAATTTGAATAAACATAAATGATAATGAATTAAAACCGTTTTGTAGTTCGCATAAGTGAGACTGCCACTTTTAAAATGGTTAAAATGGTTTAAATGAATAACTCAAAAGTAAAAACATATTCAACGCATTTGTCATTGCCGTCTTCATCTTCGTCGTCATCGTCCTCCTCAACGTCATCGTCATTGTCATTTCAACATGTGAAGGAAAGGAAATCTCGACGATAAGCCAAGTAATGCTCTGCTGCAGATTCAAGCAGTACTTGCTACCTCCGCCACAACTAATATTCGTAACAATTTTCTCGTTTGTCATTTTTTTCGCGTTTTCGCCTTGTGTCGTCTGGTTATTTAAG